CCATCGGAGATAATGTGTATATATATATTATACATTAAAAATTGTTATAAAAAAATGGCAGTAGTTTTGGCACGAGTACATTTTACAGTAATAGAGTCGATTGTAGAGATTTCATTTCTTTTTCTTTTTTTTTACGCTTTTAATAACACAAACGTTTGGAAAAATCGAGTCTAGCCTCGAAACAAATGATCAAGTTGTGCCGATTTATATACACATAAAAATCTGTTAACCAGACGAATCGTGCACACGTAAAACACAATTGCTCCGTGACAAATTCACGAGTCGAACAAATTATTGTTTCGCCGTGAACAACACACTGCTTCCATCCTCGCTCGCGCACTTTATACAAAAAATTTTAAAAGTAACGGTGACAATCATCGCTCAATGGAATGTTAACGGAGAGAAACACACCGGCCACTGGAGCGCGACGATAAAGCGTCCTCTCTAGCCAGCTGTGCCCTCTTCCACGTGGGTAGCCAATATTTGAGGACCAGGATCGCCCGGAGCCCTCTCCTCGTGGCCCTAGACGTACCTACGGTTCCTCGGCGTCCTGGTGCAGCGCCGTCTCCCGAAGATCGCGACGATGCAAACCACCAACACGACCACCAGCGCAGCGCTCACCGCCCACACAGCCGTGCTCCTCCCGGTCTTCAACCTCCCATGGTCCTGCTCGTCTTCCATCATCAGCTCGTCGTCGAGATGGTTCCAGACATCTCCCGGCTTCTCGCTGCTACTGTCGAGGGTCAGCGAGTCCTTGGGTTTGACCTTCGTCGTCTTTGTCTTGGTCGGCCTGGCCGTCGTAGTGGTCGTGGTGGTGGTGGTCGTCGTCGTGGTGGTGGTGGGCTCGTTGAATATCTTACGCTCTCTCTTCTCCACCGACTCGAGCTCGATCTCCTTGGCGTTCAGGTCGAAGCTCGCCTCCTCCGGCTCCTCGTGGCCCTCCAAGTAGTACTCCAGCTCGCTAAAGTACTCGTTCAGCGGCTGCGCCGACACCTCGGTTATCCCCATGAACTTCTCCAACAGGGACTTCCAGTTCTCCGAGTTGTTTTGCACCATGTAACTGAACCCGGCAAATGTTACTTTCACTCCTGAAGGTGACTTTTCTTTTTTTCAAAGACCGGCATATACATATACTCACACGAACTTGTGGTTGTAGGGGCTCTTGTCGAAGGGCTCCTGCCTGACGTCGGTGGACTGGAAGATAAACTCGTACATCTGGAAGGCGAGCACGATGCCCAGCAGTTTCCTAAAAATAAAAATAAAAAAATCACACGAATTTATAGCGGTTGGAATAAAAACTACAAAATGAAAAAACTTACGGAAGGTAGGGCTTGTTGGCAACGATGTGCTCGTCGGTCAAGAAGGTGGGTAGCTCCTCGTCCGCGTTCACGTACTCGTAGGCCAGTCTATTGGTCGTGCGTCAATCATACGGTAGTTATTTAAATTAAAATTCAACTGGTTTTGAAAAACCCCCATCACCCGATGGAGTAGCTCACCTGCTCGACCACCAGTCGGCCACCAACTTTTTGGGATCCGTCTCGTTCTTCTCTATGGCCTCGAGCCTCCACCTGTCGGCCGCGTCGTAGTACGCCAGCCGCGGCAGGACGTCCAGGGCAGTGATGGCCAGGGACATCATCTTGGCCTCCTCCGTACCAGCGATGTCCCCGTCGATCAGGCCCACGTGGTGCAGCCACGCTGGACTCGCCGCCAGCAGGGAGAACAACTCCGCCACCCCTTCCTCCAAAACTGCGGGGTTTACGAGCGCGAAATCAACCGAGACGGCTTTCTTTTTCCTTTTTTTTTTTTTTTTGTGATTGACACTCGCACGTACCTGGATACCTGTTCAAGTCGTTTAGGATCGGGATTTTGGAAGACAACTGGTTGACCAGAACCTTGGCCACGATCCTGTGCGCGTTCAGGTAGTACCGTATGGACGGCTCGCTGCAGGTGGACAGCCTGTCGGGCGCAACATCAACCTTTACATTCGATCGTTGATTCAATAAAAAAAAAAAAAAAAAAGACTCACCTCAGTTTGCCCGCCTCGCAAAAATTGACCAGGTGGCCCGGGCACTCGCCGTTAAAGTTGCTGCTGGTCAAAAATTCACCTCGCATAGCCTGGGCGAGGAACCTCTTGCCCAAGCCCGCAGCCACTCGGAACAGATTCTCGCCGACCAGCTTCTGCAAAAGAAACCATCGGTTATTCGTGTGACCGAGTCTCAACTCATCGGTGAGCTTTTTTCACTCGAAACCAAAGCTTATTACCTTTTCCCAGAACTTTGGCCTCAGCTCGTAGATGAGTTTGGGCTCAGGTGCGGCGTACAACGCTATGTTGGTCCAGTCGTCGCCGATGAGCGAACCTTTGGTGGATAAAAAAAAAAAACCATACTTGGCGAATCGAATCGAAAATGCAACTGGAACAAGAGTCGTAGCAAAAGCTCACCCAGCAAGTGCGCGGCGATGCTGTCGTTCCTCGTCTCGGCTCCGTACTTCTTGGCCAGCCGTTTGCGCGCAAAGTCAGCGAGTTTCGAGCGCAAACCGGTCAACCGGTCCAACTGATTCTTGTGAGCCTCGTACGCGTCGGGCTCGCCGCTCAGCATCTCCCAGTAGCTCCGCACGTCGGCTTTCCCTGTAAAAATGTCACAAAGCCCACGCGTCAACTTGCCCTCGAGAATTTATCATTGTACATGAAAATACGGTCTTTTCCGGTGTAGCGATTTCCTTAGAAAAATCCAAATAAAGTACCTACCGTTGGCGAGAGCAGCCTTTTGCGCCAATTGGAGTATCCTCGTAAAGTTGTCGATTTGGTCGTCAAAGTTTCGATGCCAGGCGCTCCACGCTTTGAGCTTCTCCTCTGCCTTGGCGTTGTGAGCCAGCAGGAATTCGACTTCTACAATAACGATCGCGTCAATTTGTACCAAAATAAAAAATAAAAAAAAAAGTTTTTTATAACGATGAATGATCGGTACCGGCACGGGTGAGGTTCCTGCTGCCATTTGAATGCCTCGCTGTGGACTGGAGCACTCGGTTCTCGCCGACGAATGCAACGAGCTGCATCGAACATTATCGATTATATTATAACTTAGGGGGAGCGCGAGAAATCTATAGTCAGCCGGTACAATATAATTGTATATATGTATAGGCTCACCTGGGCGTAATCGGTGTTATCTAAGCCCGCGTCGCCCGGCCTCTTCAGCACCGAGAGCTTGTAGCCCAGAGCCTCGGTCTCGTCGACCGTGCTGTTGAACTGCTCCGTCATGTTGTCCCTCTCCCATTTTTTAAATGCCGCAAACTCTAATTGAGCGGCTTTCTGAAAGGGTTTTACTTTTAATTTGCAAATAAAGTGCAAACGAGAGGGGGTTATTGGGTGAATTAGATTCCAACGATTGACGTGTAAATGATGTAGTTGCAAGCAAAGCTTGTAAACGATCGAATGAAATGTAAATCACTTTTGATGGATCGGGGATTGATCGGTTTGTCGTCTCACCCATTGTCGAAGCGCCGAGGGATCCTTGGCCCCGTGCAAAAAGCTCCACTCGGCCTCTGCGACGGGTTTACACGAGTCCTCGTAGTCGTACTCGCTGAGCTCGATGGCGGTGTCGAGGGTGCGCTCAAAGTTGTCCACCAGGTACGGCTCGTCGTCCTGCAGGAGGTCCTGATCCTCCGCGCCGGAGCACGAGACCAACAGCAGGAGTCCGCCGAGGAGTAGGGCGCCCGCGGATTTCGAAAGCATTCCTCGCCCACCTTTTTCCACCCTGCAACTATTGAATTTCACCGTATTACTGTAAGGTGGATGATTTTTTTTTTTTTTTTTCTCACATCTCGCAGAACACAGCTGCCCCTTGGCGCTACACTCGGGGATCGGGCAGCTGTTTGCGTCACGGATGACATAATGATAATAACACACGCGAAAGTCATTGTTCGAAGGCGCGCAAGCTGTTGGGTTTGTTTCTTTGCTCCGAGTATAATATGTGTACACACACATGTATACCGATCGCCCGCTTAAACATTAATTAATCGGTATGCGCGGCGATGGCTTCGCTATTACAACTGCGCAAATGGCCATTTGTTGGCCAATCGGGCTTTTGTCATTACGTGCTCTGATGTTCGTTATAACAATAAGAGATACTTGAGAAGAATTTTTTTTTTGTTTTTTTTTTTGTAGGATTGTACTTTGCGTTTTTATTGCATATTTTTGGGATGGCACGATTCGTGGGTATAATCCGATTTTTGTTCATTCCCTTTACATCCGAACGCCCGTGTGTATAGAACGCGCGAGGGAGTCCACATTTTTCATCGGCACATGACCCCAGGCCGGGCAATCGACATTCGCCGCTCAAATTCAATCTAATTAAAGTTCGTTTGGTCGTTTCATTCGCGATAGCTCGCGACAGTCGGTATCATATTATATATGTGTGTAGGTACGAGAGTTACAACAACAAAAAAAAAAAAAAAAAAAAAAAAAAGGGACGGCGACGGAGGTCGAGGTATTATTATATTCATCGCCGTGAGAAATTGAGGTTTCAAATTGCCCGAGGCTTTCGTGAGTGCCGGACGATTTCGGTTACTCGATCGATGGATATTAGACTATTTTCGATTTTCTTTTTTCCGGCTCATCAGGTATACACGCGTTTTCGTATAATCGGTATACGTGGAAGAATCAATTTTTCGATGTTCCTCAAAAAGGAGAGAAAGAAACGTATGATTGTTAATCGAAACGATTATCTTTTGCACCGATTACGGCTGAAAAAAAAACCGCAAAAGTATCTGCTCGATTCCTCATGTCCATATATTTTATACATGAGAGGCAAAAGCAAAAGAAGAAGCGTTTATTACGTGGAAGAGCGTCGCGTGACGAAAATGCGAAATTACGCGAAGAGATGACGACGAGCTAACGCGAACGAGGCGTTATGCGCGAAAAAAAAAAAAAAAAAAAATTATTCTCAAAAGACAAGATTGTTCCCATTATGGGACGAGGAGAGCGCGGCCGTGATTCTAATTACCGTACGTCGCGCGATGTTATTTTTAGACGATGCATCGGATTTTTATCGTTTTTATCTTCGAAGCGCCCACTCCCCCCCCCCTTTTCTTCCCACACACCAATTCGTTCCAATTGATTACTCGTCAAAGGGATGTATTAACATTATTTTGGTGAAAAAAAAAAAAACTATAGACCGGAAAATTGAGTTTTCAGGTGTCCGAGAGAAATGACGTATGGCGAGCGATAGCTCGATCTCGCGATCGAATCGGGTGGGACGCACCAGCTGGTCCTACGTCACGCCGTCATCGTATGACTTTGGCGCTGCAATTCAATTCCCTCTCGGACACACGCGCCGCATGGATATTCGATGCACATTATAATCGTATAGAGAAAGAGAAATCGATTGCACTTACATACCGATGTTGATCTAAGCGCTGTGGAAAATATTGTAACGCGCCGATTTATGGGTGTTATGTTGGTTGGGGACGCGGTTGCAGGTATTACGGAACAATGTGTACACATAGGTTTGATCGAATCCCTGAAAAATAATAAACTCGATTTTCCGAAGGCCATCATTTTTTTTTCCATTTTTTGTGGGTGATGGAACTATTTCTTGGAGAGAGAGAGAGAAAAAAAAGGAAACTAATAACGAGTGACGCACTAAAACGTTTTTGTCGAGCAGCGCGCTTTTTGCATATTGCGTACTTGAACATGTGCTGGGAATAATGCATGATTCTGCCGGGGAGGAAAATCGTATCAAAAATTGCTATGCTAAAAATACGAAAATTTTCGACGAAGCTCGTGACGCGAATGTACTGTAAAAAAAAAAAATGTGTCCACACCAGAGAAATTTGTAAACATCGGTAACCTCGTACTGCTATACAAATTATTTAATTTATCGAAATCAACAGCGTAACATCGTGATTAATCCCAATGTATGTGACAAACAGGTTTTCAAGGTTCCCCCCAATGCGTATACTATATATACATGTACGTATAGACGATAATTTCTTCTTTCATGCGATACTGGTATTATTATTATATGTGTGGAGAGACTTCATTCATCGAGAGACTCCGGACACCGACAAATCATCGGACAATCAAGCCTTTTGCTGGTACAGGTATTACCGTTGCCACCGTCATTCATTTCCCGACCAAACGCAATGATAATTCAAACTTTCGTTAATTCAAAATGAACTGCAGCTCTGACGCGAGAAAATATATGTACAAAAATGTGCGTAAATCTGAAAATTCGATAGATCAAGTGATAAAATTTGTGCGTAAAAACTTGCTCGATTATTTTCTCTTTGTACTCTATACGGGGTGGGAATAAAAATAATGTCGTCAAGGCAATACAACACGGTCTCCCCTATGTATACCTATCGGTACAATAACTACATATATATATAAAAAAATAATAATCATATAGGGCCGTGCAGTGCGCAGACAAAAACCTCCCCCCTAACACAAACATACACCGTGTAAAAGGGAGACGCACCTAATCGTCTATCGTGCCAAGGAGAATATCTGCTCCCCTCGAAAAGGGAGGGAAAAAAGAAAAGAAAATCGAATTGCGCGTGTTCAGCGATTTCCAGCTGGACCGTATAGGTATAATTTACGTGTTGGTCGTTATACGTGTGCAAAAGAAAACTCCGATGGGGTGCGCGATGGCGTTTAGAGCAAAAATCTCATGTATACATCTATACGATACTATAAAAATGTGTGTAATAGCCACTATACTCTCATTTATGATACATATATACCTTTTGTACGAGTATTGCACGGTACAATGTACATATTATATACCCATCGGAGATCTTGAATACAATGCTATGAGAACAACAATAGCAATAATCATAATAATGATAATAATAATGATAAGTAAGTAACGCACACAACGCGCTCGACAGCGAATTTTTCAATATTCTTTATACGCTACTCTCATAAGACACGAGACGTGTACATACGTTTCATATATATGTGTATATAGACAAATGTACGCACGCACGCGTGCAGATTCGCGCGAAAGAGAGATCGTGCAGAAATATATATATGTATACGTATACGTATAGGTACATACGTATGAGCGAAAGCATGCACAGTGCACACGCGTGTATGTGTGCGTATAAGGTGGCGTGAGCGGCTAAGAACCAATAACGTAGCTCAATTCGTAGGCTCGACTTAATTGTCGGCTTTTATTTATACGCATGTACATATATATACATTGTACATATACCAACGACGACGACGACGACGTCAACTGCGCGTAGAACTTTATATATATATATATATATATATATATATAATGTTAGCAAACATGTATAAATACATATGTACGTACGGGTGTGCATATATGTGCAGGTTTTTCAGAGGCGCCGTTAATAGAGACACAAGAGCATGCACAAGTACCCTTAATTAGAGAAAGAGAGAGAGAGAGAGAGAGAAAGCGTTGGAAGCTGTGCTAGTAATAGAGCGCGGATCGAGGAAGACAACCCACCCGGGCGCTCTTCAATTTTCGCTTGTTCTTTTGGTCGCGGTGTCAGTGTCTATGTCGTTATTGCTTCTATTTCGCTTCGAGATGCATGCACGGAGAGACGAACCGATTTATTTCTCGGGAAAAAATCGTTTGGCAAACAAAATGCGTAATTTTATGCTGCAGGTGTATGGGATTTTTTGAAAGATTTCGGTTGAGGTTGCAAAAGGCTCGCGGGGAGAAATTGGTAATCGGTTGCCGCCGATTTGCCGCACTTGGTCGAACGACTGGAGGGCTTTTCCCGCAATATTCTTCACTCATCGGTTGTCCAATACCAATGGAATGTCACTATGTTATTCCTTCATTTCATATGCGACTACTATCTTTCTTTAATTTGTTCATTCAATTTTATACCGATTCATTCAATTTATTAACTGATTTTAAACGCAAAAAAAAATTTTTAAAAAACAACATAGTGTTACCCTTCAGGCTTCTTATCTCATGTTAGAAAAGTTGACATTATTTTCATGGCATCAAAAAACATGTGTTTACAATAACGAGTATGGATGCATTTGTCTATAGTCGTGATTATGAGTCCCTCCCAATCTTCCACCTGTTTGTTATGTTTTCACTGATCTCATAATCAGCATTTCAGATATCACGTGTGTGGACATTGAGTCACAAATTTCCGGTTTTTCCCTACGCGCCGCATTGCATCATATTCACGTTACAGTAATGCGGAAGAGGTGCTCTCTCTGATTTTTGGCTAGTGCTTGTTTTTTCGATAATTCTTGGAAACAACAGATAGAAATGACGTATCAGATGACGTGCTTCTCGAGGAGGAGCGGAGAGGACGATGTTTATTTTGATTTTTGATCGCAGTTTATATTCGGGATGTAAACAAAGTAAATTTAAACCTGATGTGACTAAATTAAATGACGACTGAATGAATTATTCAATCCCCAATACACAACGTCGACATGATATATATCATCTCATAATACGGTTCTTTTTTTTTTTATATATAAGTAGTCAAGCTCACTTATTTCCATTCCTACCGGCATGAAAAAACTCGCGTGCATCGCGTGCACGAAAATGTTCAATCGCCGACTCTTTTTATCTCCCCTTTACGTTAAACTGAAGTTTGCAATTGTCGAAAGTGTTTGTCCAATTTGTCAATTTGGCTACACCCTCTCTTTGGAAATAAAAGAGATTACGGTTGCTTTTCAGATCCATATAAAACACAATGTCTCCTAAAAATGATAACTTTCGTGACAAATGAAAATACTGCTTGCAAAGTTTTGACT